AATCAAATTACCATTGTAAAGGCAATATATCAACTATATTGCTTATTATATTATTAAAGGAATTAATATTATTATTAAGGCTTGAAAACTATTGATAGATTAAAAATATAATCAACTTAAACAATAGTTGTAATTCTTAATAGCCAAACTAACAATTATTATAATCCTTAAATTCTTAATGGCTTATAAATAGGACCAAGACTATAATTATAGCACTTAATAACTCAAATTAGACCCATAAATCTCAATGGTCCAAGTGAGCTATGACATGGATATAAAATGGTCTAGTACTGAAATATATTCAAACTTAATACCAATAATGAATACCATTAACAAAATATGGTAGTAAGTAATAATTAAGACTCAATTAACATGTTATGCATAATAATCAATATCATTACCATAATAAACATGTTACAAGTCAAAAATAAAATAGCTATAATTATCATTAAATATCACTCAATAATGATGGGATCCAAACTTTAATGACTCAAGATAGATCCCAAATAGCTTGTTCAAAATAGATTTTAAAGTCCCAAGTAAGATATATGACTAAAATATGCTCAAAATTAAATGAGAAACCAAACAAGCTATTTTAATAGGTCATAATGTCCAAAATTAACCTAAGGATCCAAAATTGAATGATAATCAATAATAAATTTATGGACTATGAATTAATAATATGCTAAATCCATTCTTAAAACATGCTTTTCTAAATGCCTAAGTATAACAATAAAATGATTATGTAATAAATACACATAGCATGCTTGGATTTGCATATTAATATATTATTAACTCATATATCCCAAATAAATTGCAATACTTCAGGCAATTTAATATACACATCAATATTAAATTAAAATTCAAATAGCAAATTTAAAACTTAATATTTATCTAAAATTAAATAATAATTTAATTATGAATTTAATGTCAAAATTAATAGGAAACTAAATGGCATTAATATTTCAAAACAAGCAATTACCATACATTTACCATTTTTCAAAATAATATACAATATTAATTAAGATAATATAAATATGGCAATTTGAAACTAAATAATTACCATGTACCATAATTAATATGTAATATTAACTAAAGCAAATAAATATGGTAAAAATAATAAATTAAAGGTAAATTGCTCTTTAAGGAATATACCAGTACGAACTCTTTCGTCTTCTTCCTTGCGTCACCAGAAAATCAGCGCTTATGTTCCGGAGGCGAAGCTTATAACAGAGGACCGAAACAAGAGGAAGAAAAAAATTGGCAGCCTTGAAGCCCGCACGCCTTAGATCGAGCAACAGCGGCAAGAACAGCTAGCATCATTGCCTTATGCGTTTGTTCTCCTCCATCCGCTTCTCCACCGCCCGACCGGAAACACAGGGGAAATTTGCAATAGGCTGCCGCCGTCGTATTCATCGCGACGCCACAACCGACCAACGAGAGCCTGGAGAATCATTCACTTATCACCGTCGTCGCACCGTGGTCACCAGAAAACCATCGCCACCGCCGATAACCTTAGTCACGTCGCTTCTGGTCGCCAACAACTCCATGTTGCATTGTCGGCGCAAGCTTAGTTCAATAGCATCTCCATTGTCCACTCAACGGTCGCCGACAAGAGAAAAAAAATTAGAACCTTTCGAGATTAAAAAAATGAAATTAAATTGCTTAATGCCAAAATAAAAATAAAAATCATCAGTCCAAAAAATCATATACAAAATCTTAATGTATTTTTAAAAAAAATTAACATTGTTTGTAGGCAAAACAATCAACCAGACAGAGATTGATAAAGGCTCTGATACAAAATGTTATATTTAATATAATCTAACCATACATAGTAGGATCTACGAGAGATCTAACCTCGTAGTAGCGGAAGAGGAAGCAATGCAAATTTCCAGCCATAGTTGTTGTGTTGCATCTTGAACGGTAGATCTGCAGAATAGGGTTAGCCGTTTTGTCTCATACTTGACTCAAAATCATAGATGGTGTACTGATATTTTTTGAGTAGTATGAGTACCATATAATGAATAATGTATCCTGTATCCCATCAATATAGCCTTCATATAGGAACATTGGTGGAGTACATACTTAAACCTAAATGTCCAGTCTAACCAATTACTTAATGGGCATAGTCCACTTGCACCACATAATTAAGGCTCATAATATATAATATATAGTACACGGGAAAATCTTATAAAATTTACACAAAGCATTAATACTAAGTGTACCTAACGTTATAACAAGTTACACCTAACGTTATAATTAGTTGCACCTAGGTGCACGAATGTTAACAAGGTAAATTACTTACACTTGTAAGTGATTTTACTTGCACGTTTTACTTGCAAAGGTGCCAGCTACATGTACTTATAACACATTTACTTGCACCAAAATTTGAGTTATTTATGAAAATACCACCGTGTCGTTTTTTTTAAAAAAAAATTACATCTGATTCATTGATCTGGACACATGAACAACTGTATATGGTTCTTAATTTTCTCCTGGACACTGGTTCTCATTAGAGTGTGCCCATATATATATATATATATATATATATATATATATATATATATATATATATATATATATATATATATATATAGGGTTGCATTCAAGTGAAAACACCCTTAAAATACAAACCTATGGACTAATATGGACCATTAGATTAGATTAGATGAAGGGATTAGATTATTGTGGGAAAAAATAAATCAGAATCCCAATCAAATATTACAAGGGTAATTAAGACAATGGATGGGAGTATTAATTTAGGTAAAAATAGGATTGAGATATTTAACATAAATTAACAAGACTAATTTAAGTATAATTGGATTCTGATGAATCACACACCACACTACACGGCATTCCAAGTCTCCGAAACCCAGCGAGAAACTACCCCCATTGCAACAGCAAGATACGTACGAGAACGAAACTCCGACATCAGCGGCACCAACGGCAAACAACGACCGTGAAGAAGCAGAGTCAACAATGGATTACACATCACCAACACAAACAGGTAATTATTTTGTTAATCATTAGAATAGGTGAAACATAGAATACGAATAGACATTGCATAGCCCATTTTGTGAATATGATAATTGTGCTCCGCGGTTACTCTGTACAGTAGGAGTAGTTGAAAAACATAATAACGCATATGGCATGAACACACACTGGTTGTTGTAAAAAAATGACAGTAATGTTGGATGCACACGCACAGAGCATACAGCGCACACCTTATACACCAGTAGCAATAACATACACCACTGTCTGGGCAAACTTAACACCCGAAGTGCACGCTTTTGTGTGAGTCCATGCACAATTTCAGAATCCCACGGAAGCATGTTTAAAACCGACTAAAAAAAAATTGAAACAACCACACTGACATTCACGGGGTATATAATGTAATTAACAACTGACGAACACCTGTAAACTCTATTTGGTGTGATGAACAGGTGAAGATAATTGCGGACACGGAATACACGAATGTCAAATAGAAATAGGCGTAGACGGTCCGAAATACTGGAGACCGGCAACTGAGAAAGAGAAGACCCCATACGAGGGACAGCAATTCGAAACAGTGGATGCCGGGATTGATTTCTACATAGCATACACTAAGGACGCGGGATTTGACGTTAGACACGGGTCAAAGCGTAGAAATCGAATGGGAGAAGTATCAATTAAGTACATGCTGTGCTCAAGAGAGGGGTACAAGGCCGAAAGAAAAGACACCAACAACGACTCAAAAGCACGAAAGAGACGAAGGAGAGTGTCTAACAGGATAGGCTGTAGAGCACGTATGGTAATGACGAAGTGCGACACTGGAGGATACAAAGTCCACGCACTCGTGCTCCAACACACACATTGCCTATGCTCAGAACAGGGAAAACCTTTCTTAAAGATAAATCGGCAATTAGACATCGGCCACAAAACTTTTTTGGCACACTGTGCAAAGGCAAACACCGGGCCAACTAAAGCTTTCAGGTTATTCAAAAAAATGGTGGGAGGGTTTACGGATATAGGAGCAACATGCATCGACTTCTGCAATTTTAGTCGTGACCTATTAGCGTACATAGCTGAGGCAGACGCATAAATGGTGATTGAAGACATGTTCAAAAGAAAAGAAGAAAATCCGGACTTCTATTTCGATTTCGATATAGACGAAGAAGCTCAGTTATCTAGGTTATTCTGGGCAGACGCAGAATCACGAAGGAATTATGCTTGCTTCGGCGATGTGATGTCATTTGATGCTACATACAGCACAAACAGGTACTACTGAGAATAAATTATGCTTATGTTACGCCATCTGTGCATGCGATTGAATAATGTGTGCGTAGCAGGTTTCTGGGTTTACGGAATTCACATGTGTGCGTTCCGTACATCATTACTGTGCGCAACAGCACATCCACGTAGAGATGTGCGCAAAACTAATTCCAACCACGCTTACATTGCAGGTACAAGTTAGTTTTCGTCCCATTCACCGGAGTGGATAATCACAAAAGGTGCATTACGTTTGGTGCGGGACTAATTGCAAAAGAAGACGTAGAGTCGTACGAGTGGCTAGTACAGAAGTTTAAAACCGCGATGGAATACACCCCAAGATGTACGATAACTGACCAAGATCCAGCGCTAAAGATAGTAATGCCACAAGCTATGCCAACAACTAGGCACAGATTCTGTATGTGGCACATTATGACAAAAGTAGGGGAGAAGGTAGGGGTTGCGTTGTGGCATAACACCGACTTCAAGAAGGCACTGAATAGTACCGTATGGGATGACACATTGACCATTGATGAATTCGAGCGAAAATGGGACACACTTATAAAAGACTACCAACTTGAGGAACATAGATGGTTTGCCCAATTGTATGAAGCACGTGCGTCATGGATACCCGCCTACTTCAATGACATAGAAATGGGAGGACTCCTCAGGACAACTTCACGATCAGAATCCGAAAATAGCTATTTTGGTAAATTTACAAACCATCACAGCAGCTTGGTAGAATTTATAGCACAATTCAACAGTGCCATCCGAGAGCAGCGTCATAAGCAGAAACGACTCATCGCAGAGAACGAAGGTTCATACCCTGAAACTAAAACCCCTTTGAGTATTGAGAAGCACGCTGCTAAAGTGTACACAATCAACGTATTTTATGAATTCCAAGAAGAGGTATGGGAGGGCAGTTTCAAGTGCCACATCACCGACAAAAACAACGTAGATGACATATGAACTTACAAAGTTGAGGAAACAGGAGGAAAAATGTATGAAGTAACCGAAGCTCCAAACGAGACGAAAATAGAGTGTGCATGCAAGAAATTCACCCGTGTTGGTATACTTTGCAAACACATACTAGCAGTTATGAAGGCAACAGGGTACGAATCAATCCCAGACAAGTATTTAGTTCCACGATGGAGAAGAGACGCATGTGCACACCCAATACACGATGTGCCGTGGGCAAAAACTACCAATATCCCCACCACAAATGAATCATCACGAGTAACCAATCAACTTTAGAGCGAATTCTACAACTGCATGGGATTAGTGAGTGGTTGGCCTAACAAAATGGACCAAATGTTGTCAACCTTGCAACAATTGAAACAAGACCTACAAAGGGAGCGGCAACAACCACCCGAGAGTGGAAACACCGAAACTATGTTCGAAACACTACTAGGATCAAGCAAGCCATGAGACATACAAATAAAACCACCAAAAGTCGCAAAGAACAAATGAAGTGGGAAGAGACTCAAAAGCAACAAAGAGAAGGCAATCACAAAGACCCAAAAGAAGAAAGAGATGACATGCAATATATGCGATCTCCCAGGCCACAACAGCCGCACCTGCCCAGAAAAGGTAGCACCGGATGAGGCTTAGAATACTCTTTATTCCAATAATATTGAACAATGCAATTTAGAATTACGAACCACACTCATTGAACCGTACTTTGTGTTTTTAAGTGAACATTGCATATTAAAACCTTTAGGACAAAAACGTACAGCCAACGCACACATCCCAACTAGGTGTGCACAGATGCGAGTTAAAAAACCCACACCAGCCGCGTGTTGAAAATTCATGATGCAACGTACACACCGACCCACCACGCACACGATTAACACCATACGGGCACATAAACCCATGATACTACTTCTGCCATCAAAACTGAACAAAACAACTTCACAACCATACATGTCACATGAAGCGTTATGTTTACGAACCAATTAACCACAAACCAGTTATTAACCATGCTTAGAAATAGGAATAAAAACACAAACGCGAAACCCTACGCACGCAAACACAACAAGCTCGCGCACACATGTCGAAAAGGGGTAAAGAAAGCCACAAGACCCACAACAGACGTAACGCACATATGGTACCACAATAGTGCACACATGGGAGCAAAATAACACTACGGCCATTACCGTGAACCACGCTTAGAAATTAAAAAAAAAAAAAAAAAAAAAACAACCACGAAACCCCTACGCACGCTGGCACAACAAGCTCGCGCACACATGTCGAAAAGGGGTTAAGAAATCCACAAAAGCCAAAACAGACGTACCACACACATGGGACCACATAAGTGCACACATAGAAGCACACAACACTACGCCCATTACCGTGAACCACACTTAGAAAAAGAAAAAAAAAAACACAACCACAGAACCCCTACGCACGGTGGCACAACAAGCTCGTGCACACATGTAGAAAGGGGGTAAAGAAATCCAAAAACGCCAAAACAGACGTACCGCACACATGGTACCACAACAGTGCACACATGGAAGAAAATACCACTACGCCCATTACCGTGAACCACGCTTAGAAATTAAAAAAAAAAAACCACTTAACCCCTACGCACGCTGGCACAACAAGCTCGCGCACACATGTAAACTGTACAAACAAAACAAAAGCAAACCCAGCCGTACCGCACATATGGTAACAGAACAATGCACACATGTAAGAAAATAGCACAACACCCATTACTGTGAACGGAAATCATGAGTAATCTTAACGGTTGTTAGCTACACACATGTTAGAAATAGAACGCGCACACCCATTACAGTGCGAGTGTATAGGAAACGAGATAGAACCAAAAATAATAGAAAGACTAGGCAAAAGTTAACATCACACGACTGCCATGCTTAGAAAACAAACCATGTCAAGTCCACTGTAACAACATAAACGTCCAAAAACAAACATCCCAACGCCAAAAACAAAGCACACTGATAAATAGGGGTGTGCACAAAATACCAAACAGCCAACAATGACTACCTATTTAATCCACAAGTCTACACAGGGGGCAGGGGGGCCGAAATGGACTGGTACGCTCGCGAAAGATTGCGCTGCCTGTGCACGTTAAACTCCGAAATCACAATCTCCAACATGTAACGTAGCCTAAGCTTGTGCAAAGTAGTAGTGTCCCCCTTCAATAGACCGCAATCCCAATCACGAACACGCTGGCCAACATATGTCTCCATATGTCGCATGAGAAAAACCCCGCAATCAATCTTGTTTTTCGAATCCCGCCAAGACATTTGCAAACGCTTCGCCTCAACACAAACACAAGTAGCAGACCGAGAAGGGGAGCGAACCTCGTAGAAACGGGAAAGAGTCCCCATCTGAAACACAAAAAATACAATATCCATTCAAACATCACTCACACCAGCAACACCGGATAAATGAAGTCCATAAACAGAGTAAAAGAACGAAAGGGGTGCAGAGAGGGCCACACTAACCAAATCCTCAACACAATCACCATATTTCTGAGCCTTTGATTGGGGATTCGAATCATTGTCGATGATGACATAGCGAAACCGTGGGAAATCAACACAAAGCAAGAAAAAATGGCCCCGACGCAGAATTGGGAAAAACAACTGCACACAACAAACACAAACATAAGGGTGCAGTCTAACTGTGCACGTAAGTGTACACTGCCAAGCACAAAAGACGATAGCAACGCACACATCGTCAAAGAAAGCCACACACCACCACCCAATTAAAATACAATCATACAAGAACGATTAAAACAACAAATGCATCGAGTAACAAATACAGCCCCACACTACTATACATACTAAAAGCATTACAATTACAAATTATAAAGGAGACAAAGTTGACACAAAAAAAAAAAAAAAAAAACCAACAACTAAAATAAATTAAAAAATCAATTAAGATGTACATCTATGAATCTATGATGAATTTTTTATGTTCATTTATAATGCAGAAAACCCAAAAAACAATAAAAAACAAGAACACCACATCTGTTCTGAAAAAACAACCTGCATTATGAAACTCCAATATACACACACAGTTTGATATACAGCCCCACACTACTATACATACTAAAAGCATTACAATGACAAATTATAAAGAAGACACAGTTGACAACAAAAGAAAAAAAAAAACAACAACTAAAATAAATTTAAAATCAATGAAGATGTACATGGATGAATGTATGATAATTTTTTGATGTTCATTTATAATGCAGAAACCCAAAAAAAAAAAACAAATAAAACAAGAACACCACATCTGTTCTGAAAACCAACCTGCATTATGAAACACCAGTAGAAATACCCACCCCCCACCCCCGCATAAGCAACCAGAATTAGAACCACCCATTTACCCCCACCCCACCCCCGCCCCCCGACCCCAAAAAAAAAAATCCCCCAAAACTGCCACCACCAATCCCCCTCCCCCAACCACCACAATCAACAGCCGGAAAAGCCCCAAAACCACCCACCACAACGCACGGCCACCCACCGGAAGTAGAACCCCCCGCCCAACCGACTCTCCCCAAAATTCAAAATAGAAACCCCAATAAACCGAACCCAAACCCCAACCGTACCAGCCAGAAACCAGACATCACCGGAGACCCCAACCACAACCCAGAAACACCACCCCCAAAAAAACCCTAGGTACCCAATCCGGCCACGAAAACGGCAATACCCACCCCCCACCCGCATACGACCACAGCCCCAACCCCCCAAACAGCAAAACCCCCCGGGAAAACACAAAAAACGGAAGAAAAACACACGAACTGAAAAAAAGTATAAAAAAGGGGGGGAGGGGGGGGGGGGAGAAACAAACAAACCTCGACCGACAGCCAGTGGTCCCCCCCTCTTCAGTGTGTCGCGGTCCCCCCCTGACAACCATGGCTACGTGGAGTGGACGAACAGAGAAAACCTCGTGGAAGAAGCGCGTGATGCGGAAAACCCCCAATCGCCAACTCACGAACGGACAGTGTGAGAAAGAAAAGAGAAAACGTGTGACACTAAAACATACCTAATCTGACTAGGTTTTAATGGCTAGCAAAAAACCCAAACTACCCCCCCTTAAAATAAAAACACATTAAAAAAGCCACTTACCTGCGCGAGAATCTCAGCCTTCCATTAGCAAAAATGAAAGGCCAAGATCAGTCCACAGGTTTCTACACTAAGGGATGTTTTCACCTGAATGTAATTCTATATATATATATATATATATATATATATATATATATATATATATATATATATATATATATATATATATATATATATATATAGTTAATTCCACCAGAGGTCAATTGTCTTTGGTGACAATTTCAAATTTAGTCCCAGATTGTCGTTTTTGCCATTTAACATCCCAGACTATTATTTTTTGAACACTTTTAGTCCTTTTTCATTACTTTTCCTATTTTTAGTAAGGGCATTTTTTTCTCTTCATATTTTTCTTTTGTTATTTTTCCGATTTCAACCAATTAAATTGGTTTATGACTTTACAAAAGACTGGTTGAAAAATATGGTTACTAAAAATCAGAGGTTACCTAAAGTTCTGAACTAATTAAACCGGTTGAGATCGAAAAAATAATAAAAGAAAAATATGAAAAGAAAAAAATGCCTGGTAGGGTATATCCCGACCGTCATAGCTTGGGTTTTCTCGTTCTTAGTGCAGGTTTTACAGGTCGGATATTCAAGAAGGAAGACGGTCGGACCCAACCGGTGGACTTCCCGACCACGGTCTTTATCACCCGACTATTGGCCTTATCTTACGAGGAGTCAAGGATTTCGAGAAGAGGCACGTGGCAATGCTACACGTTGACAGAGAGGGCTAGCTGGGTGAAGACGCGTGGATGCTACGTGGGCTACATGCCGGCCGGCCGGAGGTGTGTCTCCGGCCAAGCGGCTATAAATACCCACGTCGGCTACAGTGTGAGGGACTTTTGGACGATCGATAGATTATCTACAGAGCTGCCCGACCGCAGTCAGTCGGCCCTCGGGATAATCACTTAGATTGTATTAGGTCCTCCTTGATCAATAAAAGACTTCTATTTCTTTTTCTTGATCTTATTTAAGTACCTTGACCGCTTAACACGTGGAATTAGTATTATCATTTTGGCGCCGTCTGTGGGGACCGGGTACGAAAGCTATCGTAGACGAGTACCAGATCCTTCTTATCATCATGTATCCGTTCATGTACCAAGCACTTGAAGATGAGCTAGCGGACACAGCAAGTTCATCCGATCATCAGCATACCCAGTATCAGGGTCAGACCGTTGACCTGAACCTCAATTTATCACCACCTCGTTCGGCGGCCCAGAACCCGGTCAATTACATTCAACCGGCATATCCGCCGCCCGGTCCGCAATATCAATTTCCAGGACAATATCCATACCCAGTTCCACCTCCTCAATATGGGTATTGGCCCGAGACGCCGATGTATTATCCACCACCGACCGGTTATCCGCAATATACGCCTGCGTATATGACTCTAGCTTCCGCTCCTCCGATTTACCCGACCATGCCGATCGAGCCGGAGCTTCAGCCCGCCCCCCGGGCTAGGCGCTCGGCTCGTTCGAGGTTGGGGTAGCATGGTGCCGAGGTCATGGAGGAACCACGGCAGGCTCCACAGGTTCAGCCGGAAACCCATGCTCAGGAGGGTGAAGACCCTGAGTTAGAAGCCAACCGGGCGATGGCATTTGAGTGGCTCTGACCAGCAATGTGGCAAAGATTGGGACCGTATGATCCAAATAGACGCTCGGTTGATTCGCCCATGCGAGCGGCAAGCCAGGAGGGGTCGTCCGGGCATAGTGGGTCTAAATCGCTTCGACGACGCCGGGCTCGGGAACCAGCCCGAACGGTCGAACAGGACAAGACCCGAGGAATGCTCAACGAACTCCGGGCAGAATTCACTCGTTGGCAAAACGAGCATGCTGTGAGGTCTCCTACCGATCAGTCAGCCTCTCTGTTGAGGACACCCTTCACGGCGGAGATTATGGCTCAGCCTTATCCGCTCGATTTGCGCATCCCCGGAAATAAGGAATATGATGGGCGAAAGGATCCAGAAGTTCACGTCAACACCTACTATGGCAACATGTTGATGATGGGCGTGTTTGACGCCGTGATGTGTAGCGCTTTTTACTCCACGCTCACTGGTCGAGCGGCGGAGTGGTTCAGAACATTACAACTGGGCTCTATTTCTCATTTCGCCAGTCTGGTGATGAAGTTCAACCGGAAGTTCGTAACCTCCAAGGTTATACGGAAGCCCTACATGTATCTCGAAAAGGCCAAGCAATTGGAGGGAGAAAGCTTGACCGAATTTTTAGTCAAGTGGAAGGCGGCGGTCGGGGAGGTCGAGCCGATGGACGACCTGACGGCCATTCATATGCTGCACATTTCTTTACGAGCTGGTTATCTGTACCAGGACTTTATACTCCACCCTCCAACCACTTATGAAGAAGCCCTCCGTAGAGTGACGGATTATGCCAACGCTGGTGAGGCAAATGCCGTCAAGAGGTCGCAAGAGGTCGGGACATCATCCGGGAAGCCTTCTGGTCGGGCGGATCATCGGTCGGTTGAAAGATCATCCCCGACCCCGTACCCGGACGGGAGAGTTCACGGCGTTGAACTGATCAGCGGCGGAAGCCATGCAGTACGCCCAATCTTGCAACCTCATTCGTTTACCTCCTCCCGGACCAGATGGTAGAGACAAATCGAAGCATTGCGCCTATCATCGTTGTGCGGGGCACGATACGGAAGAATGTACACACTTGAAACAACTCTTGGAAGAATTTCTCAGCTTGGGTAAGTTAGACAAGTGTGTTGGAAAGCGGGAGGAGACCAAGAAAGCAACTGACAGA